AAGGCATGCCTCCTATTTGGCAAATTTTTAAAAAATAATTCGTTATTATTGAAAGTATTACTTAAGTCTCCTTTTCTCCCCCCCCCCCCTCCAGCCGGCCCCCACCCCACCCCAGGCTATTTGGCTAATTTGAATTGAAAACATTTTTGAGGTTGCTCTCATAAAGGTCCCCACCAGACCTCACATTTTCTCAAGCAGTTTTTATATCCACCCCCAAGGGAATCGGGCAGAAAACCTGCAGGTGGCGAGGCGCTGAGCCCGGGATGGGCCTGGCAGCCTGAACACTTGAGCGTCGTAGGCATCATAGTCTACTTGGATGGGAAGGGCATTCTCGGCTTCTTTTGGAGTCCCAAGAGCTGAAACACAAATAATACGAATTGTCACCAAAACTTATTTCAACCAGATGCCTTCCAAGGGTCTTCATCAAAATCTGCAAGACATAATGATCATCATCATCATCATCATCATCATCTCCCCTTGAAAAAAAAAAAAGAGAGATGCCCTGACCAGTGAGGGTCAGCTGGATGGGCATCCTGCTGTGCACCAAAAGGTTGCTGGTTCGATTCCTGGTCAGGGCACAGGCCCGGGTTGCAGGCTCAATCCCCGGTAGGCAGCAGGCAGCCGGTAGATGTTCTGCTCTCACATCAATGTTTCTCTCTCTCCCTCTCCCTTCCTCTCTCTCTAAAAATTAACAAAAATATTTTTTTAAAAAGGATGATAACCATTCACCAGATTGTTGAGACATATGACTTATATGTCAAAGGATGCAGGAACAGTATAACACTAAGTAGAGGCAAGGTGATGGCAGTACCTCATTCTTCTGTAATCCCACTCTTACGATATCATCTTCCTATGTACGTTTCGTACTTTCAAACGTTCTCCCTGAGCCCTACAACTGGCCTGTCATTACCATCCATCTTGCAGCTGATAGGACAAATATATACAAGGTGGTTTAGGAACCCAGGTCTCCCAGCGTGGCTGTGAACTGTTATGTGAGCTCACATCCTCTGTTGCCATGGCAGGCTGACTCTTTCTAAATAGACGAAAGGAGGAAGATACTCACACGTGTCACGGCCATTTTTCGCTCTCTCGGAGGCAGGCTGAGGAAATAAAGAGAGAGTTAATCGCTCCCCTCCCTGCTGGAACAGGACTGACCACAAGGCACAGCGCGCAGGCGGCCGCTCCCCAGGGGGGAGACCGTCTCACCCCTGACACTGATGGGAAGGTGGGAGCGCACGCCAGGCGCCTGCCTACCGTGGCCTCAAGCCCTGCCAGGGCCTTTCCTCCCGCCTCATACCCTGTTTGCTCTCACAACTCTACCCAGGGGACCCCTGGGCCCCACTTCACAGGGGAGGCTATTTAATTCTAGAGAGAATAAGGGACTTGTTCAAAGGCACACGATTAGCAGGTGGCAGAGCCGAAGCCTAAGGTCAGCTCTTCAGACTCGTAAGAGTGGCATTTTTATTGGCTGCAAATATATTCCATTGAGTGGATATTTCATGGTTTATTTAGCTATTTCCTTATTATTTTCAACTTGTCACTATTATGAATAAAACTAGTCCAGCCGGCGTGGCTCACTGGTTGAGCGTCAACCTATGAACCACGGTTCATAGTAGGGGGCATGCAAGAAGCAGCCGATCAATGATTCTCTCTCATCACTGGTGTTTCTCTCTCTCTCTCCCTCTCCCTTCCTCTCTGAAATCAATAAAAACATATTTTAAAAAAACAAAACACTAGACCAAGGTCTACTCAGATTCAATGTCCTCAATTATTTCCTGAGACCACGTGGCCGGAAATAAAATGTGTCAAATGGCACGACCTTTTGCACTGCTCTTCATACACACGCTGAACTGCTTTTCATAAGAATCGGACACAAACCAGATACTCACGCACCCATTTCACAGATGTTTGGTCTAATTATTAATAGGTTTCAAACCTATCCGGTTTGGTAAGCAAAAATATGAGTCCCTACTCCTGTCTGAACGCGCCTTTCTTTAATGACCTGCTAGGATGTGATCTTTTTAACGTATTTCCCCTTTGCAGCAACATGTGTCCCTGTCTTTGTCCCTGCCGGTAGCTGGGAGGTCTCAGGGTGTGAACACACCAGTCACATCATAATAAAAATAGTTCTTTTTATTATTAAAAACTAAAAATAGTTCTTTGGCCATATTTTTGCCAAAGGTATTTCTTACATATGGGGGTTTGCCTTGTTATTTAATGTGGAGAATTGTAAAAAGTTCTAAAACAATTTCTGAAACTTATTTATTCCCTGGGGGGAAAGGGAGTATCTCAGGACCAAAATAACCGCCTGGGTGTGTGACAGTCCCTCAAGGCTCTGCTGGCGGGTGACACCTACCTTCTTTCCGGCCAGTTTTATCCGGGGGGTGAAACTGTTACAAAAGAGCTGGCTTTTGGAGGTGTAGAAACTGTGAAAGAAACAAACAGGGTCATTAATCTAAACACCCTTTTTTAAAATATATATATTTTATTGATTTCAGAGAGGAAGGAAGAGGGAGAGGTAGAAATATCAACGATGAGAGAGAATCATTGATTGGCTGCCTCCTGCACGCCCCCTACAGGGGATTGAGCCCGCAACCCAGGCATGTGCCCTTGACTGGAACCGAACCCAGGGCCCTTCAGTCCGCAGGCTGATGCTCTATCTATTGAGTCAAACCAGCTAGGGCATGAACCCCCTTCTTTTTTAAACCTCAAGACACAGCTGAAATCACAGCCCTGGATCAGCCACCTCGTGAATGCCTTTGTCTCAGGCTTCCCTGGTCTCCCCGATTCTAACTTCTTTTGTAATTACTATAAAGCAGTAATTATGCTTTCAATTGTGTTCGTGCTAGTTCTGATTCCTAACTGGATTAGAATTTCCTTCTTCTGGCAGAGATAAATCTATTTACACCATAATTTTCACCCAGATGCTTGGCATGATGCTGGGCCCTGACCGGGAATCAAACTGTGACCGCCTGGTTCATAGATCGATGCTCAACCACTGAGCCACGCTGGTGGGGCATGTACATAGAGAAGCTTTAAGCAACTGTTAGAGCTTTGCTTTCCGCATCTTGACAAGAGACTTTACAGAGAAAATGGCAAGGAAGTTATCTGACATTCTGGTCACATACCACGAGTCAAGATCACGCCCACCTGTGGTTGATCCAGTGAGGAATATTATAGTCGTCGCCCAGACGGGAATCGCAAGGAGCACTCCGGTTATGCAGCTGCAAGCGAGAAAGTCAGGCACAGATCAGCTACGAAAACAAGTAGGCCAGGCGACTGCTCCACTTCTGTTTCTCTTTTTCCTTCTTTTCATCTTTATTGCTGAAAGTATTACATAGGTCCTCCTTTTCCCCCCATTCACCTCTGCAGCCTGCCCCCGTCCTCCCCCCCGACACCCCACCCCAGCCCAACTCTTGTTTTTAATGAAAACTATTCTCAAGACCATCCCAGCCCTGGAAACTGGCCTTCAGTAAGCGATCCAAAACCGAATCACCTTGAACAATGGGACGGCATGTAACGGCTGCTCCCCCATGCACACCAAGTCCACACCAATTCCTAAAAAACAAAACAAAAAGAGTTTGGGGAGAGGTGAGGCGGGGAGAGGCGGAGACCAGTGCTCCCATCTATTATCGAGGTTATCTCACTGGGGTGGGGGTCTGGGGCAGAGCCAACTTTCCGTGCCACGATTTACAACCCCCTGTGCTGCCTACGCAGCAAAGAAGTACGTAGATGTATCTTGTTCTTTCTCTGTCCTGTTACCAAGTCTGTCACACCTGCCACTATTTGGTGCTCGACAGTCAGCCTCTGCCTGCCTTGCAGATCACGATTTGTCACACAGACAGCCAGGCCTCCATGACCAGGGTCAAGGCCAGACAGGGAAAGGAACCTTGTCATCTCCGTGAAAAGCCAGACGATCCCCGTCACTTAACACTCCGGTGTGGGGTGAATTTCCCGCCAAAATATAAGATGGCTCTGTCTTTTGGTTTTGTTCCATCCACCAAAAGGGTGGATTACAAACAAATATTTGGTAATACGCAGTTACAATCGGCCCGAGTTTACATGTTTCCCGCACTCCACCGCAAATCTATATGAAAGTTAAAGACGGCTCCCGCGGAGTACGCGCAATTCACGCGAGCCGACTTAACTCGTTTCCCCCTCTCCAAGTGTTAACAGGGCGTCCTTACTGGCAATTGGGATTTCCGTTCCCAGCCCCATCCTGTTGTGGAAGCACAGATGAAATGGGGGCCCGGGGTGCGAGCTGGGGAAGCACAGCACCCCACGGAGGGAGGGCTGCACTGGACGATCTGATGGGACTTCCCCGTGTGGCTGATGGACACTGGTTCCTGGAAACCATCACCCCCACCAGGGCTCCCCAGTGTCAAATATGTTTGGGAAACTCAGGGTACCAGGTATGCCCTTTAGAGACAAGCAGGGAACACTGACATATTAAAATCTGAAATTAGGGCCCTTGCTGGCATGGCTCAGTGGATACAGCACCGGCCTGCAGACTGAAGGGTCCCAGGTTTGATTCCGATCAAGGACACATGCCCATGTTGCGGGCTCGATCCCCAGTAGGGGGCCTGCAGGAGGCAGCCGATCAATGATTCTCTCTCATCATTGATGTTTCTATCTCTCTCTCCCTCTCCCTTCCTCTTTGAAATCAATAAAAATATATTTAAAAAAAAATCTGAACTTAGGGAATGGGCTTAAATGTGTATGACCCAAGTTCTCCCAAACCACTCTGACCATGGAATTCTTTGTCGCCTGACACCACTCACACTCCCCGACCTCCGATGCACAGAGCCAGGGGAAGCTGAGTTCTAAGGGGAAGTCAGCAGTTCCCAGGGAGCGTTACCGTTATCTATCATCCGCTGCTTGGTCAGGATCATGAGTAGACGGTCCACTTCGAACACACCCACCCCAGGCGTGATCACCACGGACATCTGCCCAGTTCGGTCAAAGTTGCGGTTGATATAGTGCTTGTCAAACACTGGAAATGAAGCAAAAGAAATCCTCCAATGGAGATGTTACAGCTTTTGGGAAACCAGCCACGGGCAAGACCCTCTCTTCTTGGAGCTTTTTACCTGTATCACTACCACAGCAACTGCCACATGCTGACCTGGTTTCTAGTTGGTCACACGCATGCCTGCCTGTCCCCTTTTACATTAAGAACTGCCTCACACAAGACTATGTCACTGTCGCCTTTGTTCATTGCTCTCCATTGATACTTGCCTTGTGCAGCCAGCCCTATAGGCTCAAACTTCATGTCATTAGTTTCCACAAATGAGGCAGCATTAAAACTTCTAAGAATAAAATACTACCCTGGCTGGTTTGGCTCGGTGGATAAAGTGTTGGCCTGCAGAATGAAGGGTCCCGAATTTGACTCCGGTCAAGGGCACATGCCCGGGGTTGCAGGCTCAATCCCTAGTAGGGGGCGTGCAGGAGGCAGCCGGTCAGTGATTCTCTCTCATCATTGATGTTTCTCTCTCCCTCTCCCCCTCCCTTCCTCTCTGAAATAAAAAAAAATATATATATATTTTTAAAAACAGAATTAAATACTAATTTTGGACAATATTTAAAAGAGATAGGCCAGAACCGAAAGTTAATTTTTATTTCTGGCCTGTGAAATTCTCACTATGGAAAATCAGTGATATCCAAATATGACAGAAGACTCATTAATAAAAGACCCCAGGCTCTGGAATGCCCAGCGCCCGAGTGCAGGCCGTGGGAGGGTGATATGCATAGTGAAGTGCCCACACAGGGTCCCTTCCACCGCTGGTCGGCGCCAGACAGATGCCTAACCGGGGCTGGTCCGATCAGATGCTCTCTGCTGGGAATGTGGAATTCGGAACAGAGAGCAGAGCCGGGGTGGCTGGGAGATGAACACAGTTCGAGGAATTCCTGCCGCTGCGCTTCCCAGAGCCACCCTGGCCCCCACATTCTTCGACATGGGGTTCAGGCCTTTCTCGGCTGCCCCACTGAGCCCCTGTACCTGTAGAGTAAACTTCCCTTTTTGTTTAAATGAATTTAGTAGGTTTCTGGTATCTGCAAACTAACAGAGGAATGTAGGGACAAACATCAGGAAGAAATCCCGCCACACTCTTAACAACGCCTCTCTCGGAAGGAGCCTGACAGTGGCAGGAAGGGGAGAATTTCTTCACTATCCCTCTCCATGACTTGAAGTCTAGGCACACGGGTCACTTTTGTAATTTTTTTAAAAAGCTGATTGAAAAAATTGCCTGGGAGCAGCTGAGGGCCGGGGTGAAAAAGAGTAAGAATATAGTTTAGTAAAACAAAGAGCCCAAGAGGATCCCCCAGCGCTTTACTCTGAGGTTACCCTGAAAAACAGATGAGAACAGCAAGTTAAGTTCCCAGCAGAAGACCTAAGAGCTACATTTTGGCCGTCAGAAGTTAATGCTCTCAATTAATTTGGGGGGTAGGTGGTGTGAACATCACCAACCAGGCCTGGGTCTTTGGCATCAACACAGAGAAGTTCAGTCATGCGGTCAGCAGGATGCCTGCTCACGGTGGCGCTGAACTCACTCACCATTGAAGGACAGGTTGATGGCCTCTAGGTAGTTCCCTTGTGCTGAGGTAGAATTGTCTCCTGGAGGGAAGCCCTCTGAAGCGAGAGACACGAGAGAAGGAAAACAGCTCATGAGAAAGTCTTGTAAAGCAAGTGGCAGGTGCCTGGCTCCACAGGACACCCCCACACCCCGCAGTGGGGACATTATCGAACCTACTGCATGTGTAATGAGCAATCGGACCCAACCAGAAGCAAAAACCTGAGCCCAGCCAGTGTGGCTCAGTGGTTGAGCATCAACCTAGGAACCAGGAGGTCACGGTTCGATTCCCAGCCAGGGCACGTGCCCGGGTTGCAGGCTCGATCCCCAGTGTGGGGCGTGCAAGAGGCAGCCGATCCATGATTCTCTCTCATCGTTGGTGTTTCTATCTCTCTCTCTCCCTTTTCCTACCTCTCTGAAATCAATTAAAAAAAAAAATTTTTTTTTTTTTTAAAGAAACCTGATGGAAGCAGAATCTACACACAGCACTGGAAGGGGAACAAGCGTGAACCTCTTCTTCTCCCAGCCTCGTCCTACACCTCTCTTCCCCGCTGCACCTTCTACCCCATGGATGCAGTACCTGCCTGTTCCAGTCGCACCAACACTGGATACTGGATGAAGAGCTTTTTAATGGTCACCAGGAGTGACGTCCACTCTTCTCTCCTCTCATTCTGCACCACCACTCTGAAAGGAGCATCAACATGAAACAGGTATCAGTCAACTACTACTCACAGGACAGCAGGTCCCTTAGAGGGTTGTAAGGAAAGAAGATAGGTGGGATTCCCAAAGTTAGGGGGCTTTACCACACAATTATAAGTGATAAAGTCAAGTACATTTAACAAATATTAACAAAGAAATGTAATCATGTCAATAGCCACATAGATTGAAACGAAGAAAATATTTTAAAATGGCCTTGCCCTGGCTGGTGTTGCTCAGTGGTTACAGTGTCAGCTCACACACCTAAGGGCTGTGGGTTTGATTCCCAGTTAAGGGCATGTACCTGACCACTGACTCAGATTCTCCATTAAGTCAACACTTGGTGGGGGAGGGAAGACAGGGGAAATTGCTTAAGCAGACCAAACAAAAAAGTTGTTTTGGAGACAATTAAGGAAATCTGAATATGTACTAGATATTAGATAATACTATAGAATTATTATTAATTTTATTAAAGGTGATTATGATTAAAAAAAATTGTGGGTATATATGTGATTACACTGTGATTATACATGGAAATGCCCTTACTCTTAAGATATGCAGAGGAACAAAATGTTATAATATCTATAATTTACTCTCAAACATAATTTAGCCACAAAAAGAACAGATGAAGCTAATATAACAACTGTTAAAACCAGGCGTTGGGTATATGGGTTCATTATATTACTCATTCTTTTCTGCAAGTTTGAAATATTTCCCACAAAAAGTTTGGGGAGTCGTAAGGCAATGTAGTATCCTAGACTGGACTGTGGAACAACAGAATACGTAAATGGAAAACTAGTGAAATTGAGAAAAGTCTGAAACTCAGTGAATAGCAATGTTCTTGTAGTTTTGACCAATGTACCTTGGTTCTGACATGTTAACAGAGAAAACTGGGGGAAGGGTATATGGGAACTCTCTAGATTATCTTTGCAACTTCTCTGTAAACCTAAAATTACTCCAAAATACAAAGGTTAATTAAAAAAAAAAAAAAGTTAGGAAAGAAACCACCAAGAAGCAAAGACAGGGGTTTCTAGTGAAGGACCCAAAACATACTTATAAAAGTCTTCATAGAATCGCCCCTTGTGATCCTGTCGAATTGAGGCTCGGTTTACCTCGGGAAATTCATCTGAAACAGAGAAAACAAAGATGAGATTGAAAAGAGAGACTCAGTTTCTCTGCTCCCATGTTCCTGGGTTGAACATTTGCATCACAAAAATAAATAAATAGCATGATGTGTCTATGAAGTTGGTTTAAGATGAATCACAGCCCACGGACTTCTTGCACCCGCTAAGGGGCTGTGCTATTTGCCACTTAACCGACCGTTGGACAGGAAGGGTGAGCAAGATGGAGCAAAGGGAAAGAAGATAATAAGGAATGAATGAGCTTAACAAAAAAAGAACTAGGAGAAAGACGTACTCACCAAGCGATTTTGCATCATAGAAAGTTCTAGAAAATAGGACCACTGTCACTTCATGACTACAGTTCTTCTCCTAGGCATGAGTAGAGAAAAAGAAGGCTCAGGTTTATTCCATTTCCTTCACATGAAGCAGCCCGCATGAACGCAGCATTCTCAGTGCTAGGAGGCATGGTGGGTAGACAGTCTCAGATAACATCAGGTAATTACAGGTTGCACAAGGCGATGAAGAGAGCGCTGCTGGACTCAGCCCTGGCGCTGAGACTTAGGACTACGTGACCCTGGGCAAGTTACCTCAAGCTCCAGGCACGTGGTAAATGCTTTGAAAGCTGCAAATCACCAAAAAAAGTATAGGTCCCTGCCTCCCAGCTCTTGATTTGGCATGAAATAGACCAGCCCAGTGTCTAAGGATCATGGTATTTATATCTGCGTCAGTGTTGTTGTTTTTTTAAAAATAATTTTTATTGATTTCAGGGAGGAAGGGAGAGGGAGAGATAGAAACATCAATGATGAGAGAGAATCATGGATCGGCTACCTCCTACACGCCTCCTACTGGGTATCGAGCCCGCAACCCGGGCATGTACCCTGACCTGGAATCAAACCGTGACCTCCTGGTGCATAGATCAATGCTCAACCGCTGAGCCACGCCGGCCAGGCAGTGTTTTCTAATTTCTACATACGTGCAGTTTAGGGAACGTGAACAGAACTGCTGGTGGTGGATGTCAGACTCAAAGACACCCCCACATCCTGTCACTGTCATAGGATGA